TAAATGTTTGAGCAATTAACCCCAAAACTCAATTCCTACTTTCTCTTCGTGATAAAAAATAACTAACTTAAAATGTAAATTTTAAACAAAAAAAAAAGGAAAACAAAAAATTACCCCTTTTTTGACCCCCGCCCCCCTTATGATTCATCACCCCCACCCCCCTTTCCACCCAAACCAAGCTCAATAACAGCCTTGCCTTTGTGGTATGGTACCTTGTAATACAATTTTAGAGAGATCCATACACTTGAACACAAGTTATTGTCTAGAAACTAAAAAATGCTTATTTTAAACCCCTTTTTAGGCCCCTTATTACTAAACGTTTTGGGCAATTACCACAACACTCAATTCCAGCTTTCCCTTTGTAAAATGGAACCTTGTAGTAAAATTTCAGAAAGATCCATACACTTACACACAAGTTATTGTCATGAAACTAGAAAAATGCTTGTTTTTTGCCCCCTTTTGGCCCCTTATTCCTAAAATTTTGAGGCAATTAACCCCAAAATCAATCCCAGCATTGACCCTTTGTGATATGGAATCTTGTGGTACAATGTCAAAGAGATCCATATGCTAACACACAAGTTATGTCTGGAAGTTACAAAAATGCTTATTTTCGGCCCCTTTTTGGCCCCTAATTCCTTAACTGTTGGTACCATAACCCCCAAAATCAATCCCCACCTTCCTATTGTGGTATTGAACCTTATGGTAAAATTTCATAGAGATCCATTCACTTAAACTAAAGTTAGAGTGCGAAAACCATTGTGTATTCGGACGACGACGACGACGACGACGACGCCAACGTCATACCAATATACGACCTCAAAATTTTTTTGCGGTCGTATAAAAAGCAATGCAGATTTCTTTTAATATTGTGCTGAAAACAAATAACTGGTTTAATGGATTTGGGATGCAAGAACAAAAAGATGAATTGATTGATTAAATACTTCTTAACATCACATCAGCGCTTAAAGGCTACCTGTATATCAAGACATAGAAAAATGAACAGGGTGAGGGGTAAAAACATGTATCATTAAACACTTTACAATGCTAAAGAAATGTGCAAACAATATTACAAAAACTGAAGTATATCATATTGACTCTATTTATATGTATAGTTCAGCTACAAATGTAAAGTTAACCTAACACAGAAAATTGCTTCAACATGAGCTGTGTGTAGCAGATCAATGAATTCTAACATTAAACAGGAAGAGGAACAAATTAAACAGACATCCAGGTGTGAAAGTAATTATTGCAGTAACCCCTTAGCTTATATTTACCCCCTTATATATCAAACATTCCAATGAATGAATAAGAAATAATTTGATATCAACAATTGCACGAATAATTTAACATTGATGCTCAGTTTACATCTTACTTTTAAACAGGACAATAACACTAATGTAAATTAACACCTAATGAAATATAATATAACATAGGGGTGAAATCCCTCAACTTTTCTACAGTATATATTTATATTTCAAAAAGGTCACTGAGCTTGGGAAAATAGGGGTCTGTTTTTATATACCTTCAAAGGTGCCTTGTCAAACATTTACAAATATATGTATTTTAACACTTTTTAAGTTCATATGAGAACATAAAACAATTATAACAACTTACAGAAAGGGTGAAACATACTGTAGTGTATTATATTAAACTTAGTCTGCTATTTTTGTTTTTGGTTATTCCTTTTATGTAATGATTGGACTTTATTTTTGGCTTTACTGGGAATAGATTGATTTCACTAAACATACATGTACCTGTACAAAACGTGATTCAATGCACACAGCAGTATTTTATTTACACAGATCAACAATACATAGTATAAATTCTATTTTTAATGTTGTGCTTTGATATTATTTTACATTCTATAACATCAAATGCAAAAATAAAGACATAATTTATTTAATTGTGTCAAGGAGTTATTAAAGATGAGTCTTTTTATGAATAAGAAAATAAGTATCTGATAGAATAACACACTTTAAAGTGAAATATTCAAGCTGAAACAAAAATCAAAGTTATGGATGGTTTCCTATTCTACTTAAAATGAGCAATGTTTAAGGACTGTATCAATTGGTTAAAGGTATTATCATAACGGTGACATAATATACAATTAAGCAACATACATGTATTTTATTACCTATAGCTAGGTAGTAAAGATCTCTGACAAGGAAGCAGCTAATTTTATATGACCTATTGGTATATCATATAGATAACAGTCTAAATAATGTGGATAATGGAGAATTGTCTTTATTTCAATTATGATTCAAATATTGTAATCATCTACTTAATTTCTTAGTAATATTTATGTCAATGATCGACTGGACACCAGACAGTTTCAACTTGACCCTTGAAAGTGATTATGTCACAGCAAACCATCATAAAATTAACTTGGAAATTAGTATTACATCTGTATCTTCGTTTTATTGCTGTATTTTAATTTCAAACATATGAACATCACATTCAATTAAATCTCAAATTTCCTTCCTAGTGTCTGAGACACAACATGTGCAAGTAAAATCAAAATCAGAAAATGTAGCCTTCAAAAAAGCAAAATTTGTAGCAGTGTATTCACCAATAAGTAAGCCATTGATGCGTCGTGTATGATATTGCTGTTTCAAATTTTATCAATTACTGTGGATTTGTACTTTATACATTATCGATTTTTTTTCAAACGAGAGGGCGTTTCTCATCAACAATCTCATCGAAGGGCGATATGTGGCCGAGAAACATCCTTGAGTTCGAAAGACCATTGATAATCTGTTAATCGTTATTTTGCCTATATGACGTCGTTGATGTTAACATTTACAACGGGACTTCTGCCCTTAATTTCTAGCAATAATTTTCTATCTCAAGAGAGTAGCATGATATGAATAATTATCACAAACAAGAATGTGTCAATACTATCATTTTCTATGTTCAGTGGACCGTGAAATTGGGGTCAAAACTCTTAATTTGGCATTAAAATTAGAAAGATCATTTCATAGGGAAAAGGTGCACTAAGTTACAAGTTGATTGGACTTCAACTTCATCAAAAACTACCTTGACCAAAAACTTTAACCTGAAGCGGGACACCTCACTCGCACTATCATTTTCTATGTTCAGTGGACTGTGAAATTGGGGTCAAAACTCTTAATTGGCATTAAAATTAAAAAGATCATATCATAGGGAATAGGTGTACTAAGTTTCAAGTTGATTGGACTTCAACTTCATCAAAAACTTTAACCTGAAGCGGGACACCTCTGTCGCACTATCATTTTCTATGTTCAGTGGACCATGAAATTTGGGTCAAAACTCTAATTTGGCATTATAATTAGAAAGATCATATCATAGGGAACATGTATACTAAGTTTCAAGTTGATTGGACCTCAGCTTCATCAAAAACTACCTTGACCAAAAACTTTAACCTGAAGCGGGACAGACGTATGAATGGACGCACAGACCGAAAAACATTTTGCCCATAATTGGGGCATAAAAAAAGATCAAAGGAAAAATACACAAAATATTGATAATCATTATTATTTGTGGGATACCAATTTTCATGGATTTTGTGGGTAAATCACATTCTAATATTCTTATAAGCACATATTTTCTATAGATTGCAGACTGTGGCAAAACCATAAAATCAAATATCCAGGAAAATACAATTTTTTTCTCAATTCATGAAATTTAATATGAATCCACAGTACAAGAAAAGCCAATGAAAGAAATGTATGCAACTTAGGTAAAGGATTATTCTTTATGCTATATGCTTCCTGATGTTTAATGGTAATCATTCTTTCTGTTTGTTGAAAAGTTTGACTTTTTTTTGTTTTTTCTATGAGCATAATCCAAACGTGCAACCCTATTTTACAGTAACTTTAGGGTGATGCAATTTATCTGCATATTTTTATATTGAATTACACAAGAAATTAAGTCTTCCTGTAGCACATGTGCATTGTTGTAGAGATCATATTTTGACCTTGTTTTCTGAATTATGTGCAATCTTTTATTTCCTCGAAAATGTTCCCCCAATGGCCTTTTAGCATCATAATAATGTAATGAATGTGATGCTAAATTGGTTGAAAATGATGCAATTATCTCTAGAAACAAGATAGTATTTCAAAATTCCTTATACATGTATATACCAGGATTCTACTTTTGAAGGTGTACATGTATTTGCAATTTTTGAGGATAACACTGCTCAAGTTGTCCAAGAAAGTACATGAAGTCATCCTGTTGGTACAGTAGCTAGATCAGCAAAATTGGTGGTTCATGCACACATAAAACTGGCTGAACCACATTGTGTGGTTGTAAAGGCTATCTGGAACCTGTGTTTTCATGGTCTTTGTACATCTATTTTTACAGGGAATTGGGTGTTGGTGTGGTCTGTTATACTGTCCAATATTTTCAGTATATAAAATCCTTTTTATGTTAATTGTACTAAAAAAAATGTAGCTTTACATTGGCTGTCTTTCAGGGCCGTCTTTCAGGTCCTTCTTGACATTTTTATTTTCTTTAAATTACAGCTTAATGTTTCTCTTATATGTAATCAATAAACAAATATAAATATAAAAAAGATATTTACAAGTCATGCCTAAAAATCCTGAAAGGTGAATTGTGGACAGAAAAATACAGACAACTTTCATACAATAAACATGGAAAGAACATGTACATGAATCCATAGTATCAAGGTTAATATATAGTTTGTATATCTCATTCTATTTGAATTGTATTCTTGTTTGATAATTATTGTACGCCATCAACCCTTCAGGGTATACATTGTAAATGAGCTTTTGAAATAAATATATAAATAACAACAAAGATGACATAAATGAACATTGTCATCAAATGTAATATGTTGATAATACTTCAAAGGAACTGACGAGCCGAAGTACAATAAAATGTTGCAGACTATTCTTTCCTTTCCTTTCGCTTCTATCTTAGCCTTAAAACTAATGTCTCAACATGACAGGAAAACACTATGATCTATCAAAATTTATAATAACATTTGAGGGGTTTCTTACCATTATTCTCATCTTCCATGATTGATTCATTTTTCTTTGGTTTCACACTCTCAAACAGTCAGGACTGGCGATGATATACAATTTATATTATGCATTATATCAAAAAGAATTCAAACACTTTGGGATCTTCGAAATTCTTGAATGAATCTTTTATTATTCCTGCATTTCCGGTGATGTCACATGGATAAAAAAAAGTCAAAATTCAACATTTGTCACGTGATAAGATAATTCTACAGGTAGTCCACCTTTGAGCAAGTTGAAAGGCGGGAAATATGAACCACTTCTGCCCCTTCTCTTTCTCCTTGGATTCAGTTGTAATCTACAACTGATGATAATAATAATAATATCTACTATTTGGTACCATTTGTAATATAATAAAAGAAGTAAAGTAGGTCTGTGCACTCTCCATGGAATGGATAAATTTATTGATTGTGAATAAATAAATAAATAAATCCTGAATTCCCAGAAATATAAAGGCCCAGATGCGGATCCAGGATTGTCAAAAAAGGGGTCTGGGTCAATGTTTGGAGTGGGACATGTAAAAAGTGTATGCCTTAACCATATATGCAGCTCCATAAAGGGGGATGCTTGGCCCTCTGTCTCTTAAATCCGCCTCTGATCCCAACATCAGAAAAAAAGGTCTTTTGGCCCTCAAAGATGTATGGCGTTTATGAGACCAGGGCAGATTTAGGGGAGGTGTCCTAATATTGGCATGGTGGGAATATCACATTTATCTTTAAATGACAAGATTCTAAAATAAGATATGAGCAGATAGAATTTACAAATAAACTCATCATAGATACCAGGCTTAAAATTTTGAACACCATCAGACTCATCAGTGATGCTCAATTCAAAAAAGTTAAACAGACCAAATAAAGTACGAAGTTGAAAAGACTGGGGACCCAAAACTTTTTTATAAACAAAAATTATCTGAGTTATCCCCCTTATAAAGCAATTTTCTAAAAACAATGAATTAATAATAAAATCTGCACAAAAAAAGTTACTTCCATAAGATAAATCATGCAAATTTAGTTATTTAAAATGAAAAGCATTGTACATAAATTGCATTTCTGCGTCACAGTTAGCTAATCATCTGATAAATTAAAAAATATAGCAGGAATTATGAAGATTCCACATGTATATATACATAATGATCAGCAACCACCCACAACAGCCAGTCAAAACATAATAAAAAGGCAAGGTTAATCATCTAACTTTGTTCAGGTATGAAAGTGATGGGGTTAAAAAGTTTTGAAGCACCACCACTCATCTATCCCTCTTAATTATATAGACTAATGGCACACACTAAATCAATTATTTAATAGCAATTTTTTTAAAAGGCAATTTGAAAGATGTACCATATAGTTAAAGAGTAAAAATACATGTATATAAATTCTAAATACAATACCAAAGGTATATCATGATTATTTAACTTTGATGACCTATATGACATAATATAAAAATAAGGAGATGAGACAACTATTCACTAGAGACCAAATAAAGTGGAAGTGGAAGACTTGAAACCCCTTCTTTGTACTTAGGAAAAAGCCTTAAAAAAGATTTTTTTTTCCTTTTTAATTTAAAAATAAAAGTATAAATAGCCAAACAAAATAATATCCATCAGATATTTACATAACATTAGTCTGTCAGATATGATACTTGTTAATATTTTCAAATTCAATCTTAGATATTTGCTTTTAGTTTCCAAACTTCTTGCATTTATGGATTATAACTGAAAATAGTGACATTTTTATATCTTATAAGTATTAAGATATGAATTTTATCCTTACTTAAAAAATATATTATGTTCCAAGATTGTAATATTAATTTTCATCTGATTAACATTTTGGATAAGGCTTTTGCACATACTTAATTTTATCAAAAACAGTGAATTAATTTCCATTTTACACCAAATACTTAATTTTTTACATTTTTATGGCATAAAAATTTTATGACATTTCTGTACTAGGTTCAATAGACTAGAGCACACTATGCATATCTCTATAAAATTAATTTTGATTTTGAAAGGAACCATACTATTTTTACAATTTAAGGTTATGAATGATGGCTCTTACCATTACCTCCCTCTTTTGATTTTGCATTAAATAAAATAAGAGTACACATCCTGAAATGTCTCGGCTGCTGTACTGATCATGATGAGTCTTTAAGATACAGGTTTGACTATTTGTATCAAATGAACTGAACATTATCAATGATCCATTAAAATGAGGTCAAGGTCAGATGAACCCTGCCAGATGGAGTTGTTAACTTCTATGTCATTTGGTCTCTGGTGGAGAGTTGTCTCATTGGCAATCATACCACATATTCTGATTTTTATATGTAAACCTTTTTTTTTAATGAATACACCAAATATAGTTGACCTATTGCTTATGGTATCTGGGAAACATACCTACCCACAAAAAACTTAACCTTGACCAACAAACCATGAAAATAAGGTCAAGTCAGCTGATACTTGCCATCTTACAATCATTCCATACACCAAATAAAGTTGATGATATATCTATTTCTTAAAGTATCAGAGAAATGAACCTTAAACCACAGAACTTAGCATGGACCAATGAACCATAAAAATGAGGTCAAGGACAGATAGTTCCTGCCTCACGTGCCTTTTCAAGTTTGATGGTCCTTTCGATTCTGTTGACAGTTTTGACTTTTCAATTCTTTACACTACACTTCCACACAATCTTATCTAACAAAAGTTTTCCTATTTAATTAAATGGTTGTTTGGTAAATCTGAAGGCAAATATATTTGCTGCAACTCATTTAAAGCCTTCTTTTCTAATGAGAAAGGTAAATATGCTAGTTATATTATTGGATGTGTGATGACATGATTGAAGCTGTTAATTTTCTCCTTGATAATATTTATATACGTTTCGGCAGTAAAGTTTATCGACAGGTTGTAGGTATTCCTATGTGCACCAATTGCACCCCTTTAATAGCAGACTTGTTCTTGTACTGTTATGAATCACAGTTTATGGCCCAACTCAGTAAAGACCTGTCTAAATTGCATTTAATTGATAAATTCAACCACACTTATCGTTATCTTGATGATATCTTTTCGTTAAATATTCAATAATTTTCTAAATATACTGCCATAATTTACCCAAAGGAACTTACTTTGAATAAATCAAATATAATCGGTAATAACTGTCCTTTCCTAGATTTAGATATTTCAGTTTTACACAGGAAACTCTACACTCAAATTTACGACAAAAGGGATGATTTTTCGTTCCCTATTGTTAATTTTCCATTTTTGGACGGTGATGTTCCTTTGGCACCATCTTATGGTGTTTATATATCACAACTTGTTCGCTATGCCCGTGTCTGTTGTGACGTTTTGGATTTCAATGAAGGTAATCTATGTATTACTGGTAAATTATTAAGTCAGGGATTTCTTTACCACAAATTATTTAAAACCTTTACTAAATTCTTCCATAGATATAAAGATTTGGTTTGGAAGTTTGGTTGTACCTGTAGAAAACTAATTTTTAACGAGATAGCACATCTTAGTTTTTACTCGGATATTGTTTGACGAGCCCGGAAATTTAGATACGATCTGGGTAAACTTATCGATCCTTTAAATAAACTTATTCTGAAAGGTTACCAATTCAACACTATAATTAGATCTTTGAATATTGTTTTTATTGGTATTAACATTGATTTTGTTATCAGTAAATTAAAATCAAACTAAATATTATTTTTATATACATATGCACATTCTTGGCTCTACAATCTGTCGATACCGGTATCTTGGCATTGCACAAGGTCATGTTTTTCTCTGACTGTTAATGACGTCTTTACACTAAATCCATTGGATGTTGGATGTGTACTGATTGATATTTTAGTCTAAGTCTAGACATGGGGTAATTGAAATATGTAATTGTAATTGGCTGTAATTAATTACAATTTCTCAAGTAGTACTCTTAGATGCATGATTTAAAAAAAAAAAAATTAAATCTATTAGTTGTTATTGGCTTTGAACTAGCTGTCAGTAACTGTGAGTACTCTCAGATCTGTACTTAGTGTCTTTTTGTTGTAGGGATGTATAAGTACCCTGCCACAATGAATAAGAAGATGTGGTATGAGTGCCAATGAGACAATTCTCCATCCAAGTCACAATGTATAAAAAGTTCACTCTGTTTTTGTTAGATGTATTTCTGCTTTGGATCAATCTGATGAGTTAAGCCCTTTTAAACTGATTTTTATAGTTTGTTCTTATGTTGTACTGTTACACCACTGTCCAAGGTTAGGGGGAGGGTTGACGCGCCTTCAAACTAGTTTAACCCCACCACATTCTGTATGAGCCTGTTCCAAGTCAGGAGCCTGTAATTCAGTGGTTGTCATTTGTTGCTGTATATCATATTTGTTTTTCGTTCATTATTTTGTACATAAATCAGGCCGTTAGTTTTCTCATTTGAATTGTTTTACATTTGTCATTTCAGGGCCTTTTATAGCTGACTATGTGGTATGGGTTTTACTCATTGTTGATGGCTGTACTGTGACCTATAGTTGTTAATTTCTGTGTCTTTTGGTCTCTTGTGGAGAGTTGTCTCATTGGCAATCATACCACATCTTCTTATTTTTATATGTACCGGTACACTTAACAATCAGTCCACTCCAATTATATTTGACTTTTGCTTTTAGTATATGGACCTAATCATGAAAACTTAAAGTTGACCAATGAACCATGAAAATGAGGTCTAAGATATATCAACCCTATAAGATGAACATATATATCTTACAATTATTCCATGTTAAAAGTTTGCTTATACTATCTGAGAAACAGACATTACCAAAAACTTAATGTAAAACTAACAAACCATGAAAATGATGTCAAGGTTAGATGAACTCTGCTAGATGAACATGTACACCTTACTATCATTCCATATGCTAAATATGTTGCTCAAACATGGTTTAATTTGACATGTGACCTTGGTGCGTTTAGTGAGCCAGCTTGCAACCTGACTTCTCATTTTGACCTTAAAATTTTTTAATTTTTTTGCAAATTTCATTAAAAGTGACCTGGTGACCTGAGGCAATTCTTAAACTTGACGTTTTGACCGTAAGGGGGTACCCTACTTCTACTGAAGCCCAAAATATAATATTATCTGAGTATCTGAGAAATAGACCTTACAATGAAAGCCTTGATCACTGACTCATGAGA